CGTTAACTGCTTTGCTTACGCAAATGAGGCTCTGCCTTCAAATAAACTTACTTGGAAAAGAAAACCGCAACGGCGGAAATTCTCTTTTCATATTTATATTCAATTATAATTTCAACAAGAAAGCCTTCCATGTTTCATAGATTTTATACCACTTGCTTATATATTCAACAATATGGGAAAACTTCCGTAACATTTTGTAAATATTATCCTAGTTTATTTACATAGCATGCATTTTGTAAATTGTCTCTTCATTGAGTCTACACTTTAGTTTCGTAATAAAAATCTAACTTAATTCTAAAAGTAAATCAAGTTTTTTTTACTATTTTTAGTTTTATAAAACTTTCATTTCCTAAATGATTTTATTTTTTCATATTTTTTGTACTATTACCAACAAGATTTATATTACATATAAAAGGTGTCCCAAAATTAACGCAAGATTAACACAGTTTTTAGTCTTCAGATTGTGATTTTGTGATTGTGATAAAAACTGTGTGTTTCTATTTAATTCAAATCTTGCGTTAATTTTGGGACACCACCACCACAGAAATACATATTTCTTATTGACAATAAAAACTTATTCATATTTAAAGAGCAAACTATGAAAATTGTATAGATTAGTCTTAAATAAACAATATAATATAACGTTTATTAAACTTATAATATGTTACATATTTATTAACATTATTAAAGTTTAGACTTACTAAATTTGTTATACATTACTAATATAAAATATCTTTTATATCATATCTCTATTACATTACTTTTGAAGTTGTACTAGAAGACTAAAAACTAACATCTAAGAATATGCTTTCAAAATATCGATCCTTTTTAATTTATTGAATGCAGAAGATGGTATTTATTTTGCAGTGGAAGATTTTTAATTGTTGGAAAATTATGTCTAATTCGTTATTCGAGGTATTGTTCAATATCCCATATAAATAAATATCAGAAACATCATTTCAATTAAAAAATTCAATAAAAATAACATACATCAAAATCAAAAATTCAAAACAAGTCTTCATGTTTGGTACAAATGAATCGAATGTTCGATGACGTACATAAAAAGAGGAAAACCATTAACGTAAAAATAACACATATACACAAAAGCCTATAAATAATGTTTCCAATTTGAAATTGAAATCGTGGGGGAGTTGATATTTTAGGAAGGTTCGTGTAGCTGGAAAATTCATAGGGATTACACGGAATCCAAAAACAGCTCTCCACGTTTTCCAATAAATTCCTGATCTTTGAAAACCGTGCATCGCGTGCAGCGAAAATTGCTTGATCGAATATTAATAAGGAAGCCCCCCTTAATCCGTCGCTTTGAGATTATCAACAAAATACTAATATGTCAATATTGCGATAGCAATTTACTATGGCGACACAATTACCAACTCAAGCATACACAATTATTTACTATTTTTCTTATGTGACTACTTAGTGTAATTAAGTAAGTAATTAGTAATATTTTATTGTTTATTTAAAAAAAATATACACATTAAGATAATAATTATAGTTTATATGAAATGCAGGTTTTCTATAGATAACTGATAGAATATTTATATTTTTTAATCATTGGTTATTCTATAGATTACTTAGTTATTATATAAAATAAATATGTATAACTCGAAGAATATATATAAATAGATTAATGCTAACCTAACACAATGAGCTAAACCCTTTAAACCAGTAGTCGACAACCTTTTGGTGTGACGAGTAATGTTTAACTAATATTTAGGAAGCTGTACGAAGTGATAATTATACCGACCAACAATATCAATTATTAGTTAATAACAAAAGACGAAAACGACCGCAATGACTCATTAAAAGAGCTTCATGCGACTCCGGCTGCACGGGTTTACAGCTCCTGATCGAAAAGTATATTTGAGTTTAGAATACTAAATTATTCAATGAAATTATTTGATTACATATATTGCACCCTTTATAAAAAATAACTGGGTAGAGTGTAGAATAACAAACAAATTCTTAGTTTATATGTTTTTAATAGATATTTCATGAAATAATCAATCATTATGTACTGTAGTGGTAACAGATATAGGCCTACATATACCAGGAGGGGTCGGCAACATTTTTGGAGCAAAGAGCCACTTGCTGTTAAAAAAGTCTAGATTGTCGGAAGTAGCACTACAATAGCTATTATGATTGGTGAGAGCTAGGAGCCGCATGCGGCTCTGAGAACCGCATTTGTCCACAATAGGTGATCTACAAGGACCTTTCATTTAACATTTGGTTATTTTATGATAATTAAAAATTGTAATTAGATTGCATAATTATTAAAGTACAAGTTTATTTTATGTAAATATTAATATTTTCATGCCACAAAATAGGAATTATGTTAGTCTTATTATTTTATTATATTTGTTCTAAATACATATACATGACATTTGTATTTCCTATCAAGGATAAGCAAAATTATGTTAAATTTTCTAATCATATTTATCCTTAATCCAATGCTTGTAGCTTAGCTGTATTAGTTATTTACATAATATATTAGCTTTAAAATCTAGTCTCGGGTACCGGAACAGCCTCGAGGACCTATATTATCTTCACATTAATAAATGCTCTCGCAGGACTAATATAGGAAGTGACTAGTATAATACATGTTGATTATTGGAAAATATTTGAGTTTAATTTTGGCTTATTTTGTAAACCGTATTAGAATTTGTCGATTTATTGATGTGTGCATTAAATAATAATGAACGTTTCAATGCAATACACCAGATTTGTTGTATATTATCAATTTACAAATATTGCAATTTTTACCAATTTCATTTTGTACGTGATTGCATTGAGAGAGAACGAACGTTTTAGGTGAAATGCGTTCAACTGATTGTTGGCATTATCATACGTCAGTAGCCCGGTAATTCCGTCTATTATCCTGAGCTACAATCCCTTGCCGTTGTGATTTATCGATTCGAAGCTCGAACGTTAAAATTGTTATAATTTAATTTACGACCAACGCTCGGATTTTCCTTTTATTCTCACCATCCGTAATGCTTTGTCTAAATTTTCCTTCCACTTTTCTGCTATTTTTATTTCATTTTTTATGTTTCACCTCTCTTTTATTTACAACGTCGTCTGCTTTAACCGAGAGTAGAATCAACCGATTGAAATGCGTTTGTTTGTCGGTATGATATGATAGATGGAAAGCTAAAATGGGATATGACATGTTTACAGAGTTGCCGTTGAAATCTGAAGAAGGTATGAATAAATAGAAAAGGAACAACGGTGCTGCTGTGATATATGAAGAAGAGCAGACAGGGAACTTTTATCAGCTCTGGTTTTACCCCATTTTGCTCTCAATCATCTCACTGTCTCGGGTATAATCACAAAAGGAAAGCACTAGACAAAATAATGCGAAGGTATTGATTTCGTTGAAATCCGTTTGCTTGAAAATTGGAACGAGACGAAACGAATTGAAAGAAATGAAAAGACTTGCATAGTTCAAAAGTTTCCATTTTATTATACGCATCCAAAAAGCCTAACCGCATCTTCTCATTTATTGCGCATTTTAAACTACCAGGATTATGTTTCCGGTACATTTATTCCTTGCTTGCTCTTCCTACCATTTTCAATGCTTCGTTTAACTGCCTTAATCTCATTTGATTCAACAACCAAACATTTCTACTCTGCTTAATTTCCTACTCCTTTCCACTTATCTCTTACACATATCTTCATTGCTTTTGCTATATTACAACTTCTTGGTGCGTTTTCTTCTCCCCTTTTATCTGTTTCTTTACCACTTAACTCCCATACTATTCCAAATTCTACACTCGAAACAGCTTGAAAACCCTACTTTAAAGGATTAACCGTAGATTACATTTGTTCAAAACATTTTGTATTAGCTGTACGTATTTACAAGATCTGTATAAATTTCATTGTAGAATTATAAAAAAAGTGATAATTCAATAATTTTTAGCCAAACCAAGTAAATTACCCCAAATCGGTTAAAAATTAAATTATTTGGAGTAATATATATAAAACATTTTAATTTCTTATGTTAAAAACTGCAAAAATTTATAGTTTTCAATCTTGTAAAAAAGTAACTTTTTGACTCCTTTTTGCAACAAACTATGTTTTTCTTCGGCATAAATAAATATAGTTTGTGGTAACAATTATATAAGTTTCCTGACATCTGGGCAAAAGCTATCAGATGAACTGTTAATTATTTTGTTATTATGTAATTTTTATATTGTTTCAATAAATATTTTTGATAATAAATGTTTAGTAATACTTTTTAGAGTATTATGTAATAATGAATTTATTATAAACAGAAAATATTTATAGTGTAACTGTCAGGTATTTTCAAAATGTAATGTGCATATGTATACAGCAGAATATCGTATAATTAATGATACCAACGGACACTAGTTCCGAGCTGCATTACTCCTTAGAGAATTGAACCGAGTACAGTTGTCATGTTTGAAATATAATAGCAAGGACTGATTAAATGTGTCCTGCTTGGCCCCGCTTAATTCATGCCGCAGCCAAGAAAGCAGTAGAAGGAGAAAGTCTTGCTTTCGAAATCTTCGAACGTTTCCGAAAAGTTTTTTTTGTTTTTAATTTATTTTCCCACCCTCAGTCGTTTCATCTTCCCACCGGTGCTCTCTGTGTGTGTGTATGTTTGTGACAGTGTTTATTGGGTCTTTTGGGAGGTTTTGAAAGCAGGAAGCGTGTTAGTTGAGGGTGGGGAATCCTGGACAAAGCTCCTACTCGGAGATATCTACGGAAGCTGTAGTGAGGGTTGTATGAAGCAGAGAGAGAGATATAGAAAAACGGTGAGGATGGAAATGGAAACAAAAAAGAATATAAAATAAAAGCAAAGGGTGTAAGGTTTGCGGGATATTGCGGAGTCGGGATAATGATGTAGTTTTAAAGTCTGTGGTCCGGTAACAGCCGGCAGCTTTCATTATATAAGTGTGGGAACGTGCCGGGTCGACTGTAATCACAGACTTATTGATATTATTGATCTGTTACAGGGGACAAGGAGGACACGGATCGGAGTGGAGGGAAAAGGACGTTTCCCAGTGCTTTGCTTTAAAGCGGATTACCAATAGAATATCTGGTTTGTTTCCGCGCGGAGGTGATTTCAATTACGCAGTTCTCTTTTTATATTATCGTGTCCTTGCTTAGAAAAAAAGATAAAATCCGCACATATAAAGTGGGTGATTAAGGGTATGATTTAATCGCGTCCTTTTATCGTCCCTTTCGCTTTGTTTCGGTCGTGAAGAAGCGGACGAAATGAACGCGCGGCATCTTATTAGGACGGCATAAACATTCATTTCGCGTCGCGTGGAAAGACGATACCGCGTAAGTCCTTGTTTCGTCCTTCGTACTTCGGCTGCAAATTTTTTGCGTTTCGTTTCGCCGGGATGAGGAGACGCGGGGTCGGGGCGGTTGCGGCGGCGGCTGCCTCCGAGGCAAGCAGCAAAAGGACGAATTCACCCTCGTCCTGGCCCATTTATAGCCTCGTCAGCACGGTTGCCGTGGCCTCCTACCTGAATGGCCTTAACGGTGACTTTGTGCACGATGACATTCCCGCCGTTACTATGAACAAGGATGTTTTGGCCATCAACCCCATCAGCCACGTCTTCAAGAATGACTTCTGGGGAACGCCCATGGCAGACGTTGCTAGCCACAAGTCTTATCGTCCCTTAACCGTTCTTACATTCAGGTAAGTTTATTTCTTTTTTCTAATGTTTGTGTTCTAAACTAGCTATAAAACTAAAATAAAACAAGAGTATTAAATCCTAGTACGATTATTTAATAGAAACTACTCAGTAAACGGTATTTGACAAGTAACTTCGCAAGTTACATTTTTATTACCAAAGTATTATAATTTTACATTTATCTATTTCACTATTATAGTACCAATCCAGTCGACGTTACGTTTTTTTACAATACGGTTTTGCTCTAATACGATCAAGTTCTCAATAGATTAACACCAATGTCAAAATTAAATAAATTGTAACATCTAACAACACTAAATAAAGGAAATTTAAACAGAATTGACCTAACACAATGAATAAGATGAATTGCGCAAACCCCCTTTTTTGCTGTACTGGCCTTGGATTTCATATAACACGGTTATATGAAACACGATATTGGCACTTATGAATCTACCATATTATAGGAGTATTACCTTTACATTTGAACATCAACACAAATGAAATATTTGATTTGTATGCTATATTCAGGCATTATTCACAACACGATAATTCATAAACTTGTCAATAATAACGTAATATGTACTGAATGTGTGTAATGAAAATTCTTTAGAATATCCATTTCAATAATTTAAAACATTTATTATAAAAAATAAACATTGCGAAATATTTTATTAAAAATATTCTAGTGAAATGTAAAAAAAATATGTTTTTTTTTATTCTATTTCAAGTATAAATAAATATTGCAATACATCGCGTAGCGTGGTTTGAATTAGTGCGGATTTACTGCAGTACGATTTAAAAAGTTTAAAACCAACAAAATGTTTGAACCCTTTTCGAGTGAGCGGCGGATATATTTGCCGTACATAATATGTACATAGGCAAAAATATGTTTTGAGTGGAATATTTTTATGCGATTTTATGTAACTACAATTAAAGACATAAAATTAAATGACTTTCAAACTTTTGCAGAAGTTACAAATCAGTTGTAGCAGCTTGATTTATATTTAACATTTCGTATCACAAATTGCTTTCGTGCACAAATTATAATATATACCGTTATTTGTTGAGTGTTTGTTTAGATTTTAATCAAATCCAAACGAAATATTGAACGTTTGTGTTGCAGTTTTGCACCATGCGAGCGTGTCAATATATGCATCCTGATCGTACGGACTTTCAACACGACACTTTAAAGCTCGTCTAGTTTGTAACGTATGAAATATACGATACACACGCTCGCTTAAAAATGCAATCATATTTATAGCAGAGCAAGCAAACTACAAACTATTTTATACTAGAAAATACGAAAAGAAATATAGTATCATATAAAATTGGACTTCAAATGTTTATATTGGTAGAGAAATTTTTACTATTCGTTGCATTATTTTATTAAAAATTAAAGAAATATATGTAAAATTGATTCTTTTATTTTCCATTCCAATATGTATTTCATTTAAACTTTTGGTACATTTATTTATGATTGATAATATATGGACTTTAAAGTTGGATTTAAATTCCATCTTTTATCAATCATGAACAAATTTAGACAGTTTATTTGTTGTAACATCTTAATAAATGTACATTAAACTATTAATAATATTTACATTATTCGATTTGTCTCCTTGATTCAAGTCTTTAGGTCTTTTTATAGAAAATATTAACTATTTACGGATAAGCGGCGGATATATCCGCCCGAATATGTTTATGCAAAAAAAAAAAAAAAATGCATGGCCAATACTATATTTCAGATGGTGCCATCATGTTGACATGTAAAATTGCACCGTTCGCAAATGTTTAAATCCTTTGTGTGTAAATATAACTTTCATCAAGTGTAAATTTATATTTCATGAAAATTGTATTTAAAGTTTTCACCTGTAAAGTGATTCTACAACCTACCTCAAAAATTGGTATACAAAAGGTAGTTATTATAATTTTATTATTAATTTAACAGATAAAAGACAAAAAATGTAAATTATAAAAAACATATTTTCTTATTAAAAAAAATAAAATATGATATATATATATATATATTTTTTTTTTCCAACTTCATTTCTTGATTTTTTTCATATTTACAATTTAATTTTTACAAATTTAAATATGTTTATATTTAATGCGAAAAAATACATGCGTGTATCTAAAATCAATTGATCTTTCTTATATATATTTCAAAAAGTTGATTAAAAAAGTTATATCATTAATTAATAGATTAAACAAAAAAAAACTGTTATTTTACCATGAATAAAATTAATTCAGTCATATAAATTCTGCACAGTATTAAACAAATATTGCAACAGTAGAAGAATATAAACTGGAACATCCATAAATTACAACAGGCATCGAAAATTCCAGAATTTATTCAAAAACAATGATCGTTTTTGCGTCCTTTTTCCATTATACATTCACATTTCTCTTTTTTCCTCACATTCCCCATCAACGATGATTTTTTTTTTGCAATTCTAAAAAGGGCTACATAGTGAGTGTAATTAACAGCGGAGGCGGAAATAGATAGGAGTTATAATTTAAAGCCCATTTCAAAAGCAAACACGTTCCGCGTGAAATATTATGGAATTATCGTACGTAGGATCCACCATATTTTATTCTGAAGCGTTCTGAATTATTTTCCATTTTTGTGAATTTTTTTGTTCATTTTGTTTCCTGGTGCAAACGTGTTCCTCCTCTTTTTGCGTGTGCAACAAACAAACTATTAGTTCATTTTTTTATTTGTTTTTTTTTGTTTTGTTTGTGTATAGTTTGTAGCGTTTTCATTTTTCCATATGCAAATATATACGAGTGTAATAAAATGAAAACCATTAATGGATTACCTACTGATGACCAAAGCTCCGATTTTGTTATATAATGCTGCATGTTTGTTCCTAAAATAATACTTTGTTTTGTTACATGAAAAATCGAATAAGCGAAGGATTAGTTTTGTATAGTATTTATAAACTTAAGCTTAATACTTAATCCTGTATTTGCAGGTAATGATAATGGATGAAATATCTCATATAATGGTTGTTTTTCTTCAAATATATATTTTCTAAAAATAGCAGAATTACTGATTAAATTCCCAATTGAAAATATAATATAATATTTTAATAATTAATAAAATGTTTATTCAGGAAATATTTATATAAAATATTATAAAATTAAATTAATATGAAAATTTTTCATCAATTAATTTTTAATTTATTTTATATTTTTAGTAATGAAATAAATTGTTTTAATTTGTATTTTTATGTACATTTTATTACTTTTTAATTTCTAGTAACTCACAATTAGTTAAAATTGAACAATTCAAAAAATATATATACTTATATACAAAATGCATTTGAAAAGGTAAACTTTAGTTATTAATTCCTTATTTATTAGTTACAACAAATATTGTTACAAAGCTAAGTTTTTATGTAATAAATGATGTTTTTTTTTATAGGCGGCTTCAAGTAATCCGGATTAACTGTAGTCCGGTTTAAAAAAAATAGTTAATAAAATATTTTTGCTACCATTTAGGGTGTTTTCAATTTTATACATTTGTGCAGTTTTAAAGACCTCGATTAGTATGGTTAAAGATATTGACAGAACCTATTACCCGCGCTATGCGAGGTATTGAAGTACATACAAAAATACACTGAGAAAGGAAATTAGATAATGATTACTATTACTTTACAATAGATAAATATTGCATGAAAATGATTTTTTTAAATTTTGTAAATAAAATATGTAAATAATTGTGATATACATAAAAAAAATACATTTGAAAAAGTAAATTTTATTAACTATTAATTAGTGTAGAATGAATATTAAAAATAATTTAAAAACTAAATATTTTATATATGTAAAAAAAATGCCAAAAGCTATTAATGAAGTAGTGCACAATTTACATATGTGATGTCTATATAAATGTAATTATCATAGAGCGTATCTAAATTATATCTCGAATAATGTGTGGGCGTGAGAGACACATCATCCGCTCTCCACTTTCAAAAATTAAACGCGTCCTCATTTAAATAATTACTCGCATTCCTCATTACACACATATATATGTATTAATTCCATTCCGCATTAACCCAATTCGCGCACTTGGAATCGGGATGAAAATGAACAAAAAAAAAGCAGAGAGTGGCACCATGGAAATAAAAAAAATCACCGCAATGGAAAGCCGTTTCCATCGCACGGACGATTACCTTGAATTAATGGTGGATGTGCCGGGCGCCAACCGAACCGTCACCAGGAACAAATCATAATTGCGGCCCAGAAAACCCCGAAAACGCATTTTATTTGTGCGAATTGTTTTCCCTCTCGGAATTTATGTTGATTATTCTGTCCACTATTTACATTCATCTCCAGTAAACGTTTTCACATTTGTATCTTGTTTATGTGTATTTCTACGAAAGTAATTACTTATGAATTATTTACTATAAATATATTTAAAATAGTTTTCTTATTTCAATATATTTAACATATTTATTTATGTCACACTTTGCGCCATAAAAAATAAAATAATTTATATAATTGGACAATATTTGCCTGAATTATTTTACATTATGTAACTTTGTATAATTTTCAAATGTAACCATTCTGTATTGCTATCATTTATTTCAGTTATCGTTATGACAGTTTAATTTAAAAAAAAAATGTTGAAGTTTATGAAATTCTATAGCAGCATAATTTGATATATCATATATATAAACAAAACTATACATTTTATGAAAGTAAGATGTCGAAGATTGTGGATTTTCAATTTTTAACAATTTTGTTAGAAATTTCAAAAGGTGGAAATGAAATTTTATTAAATTAACAACTATTTTGATTTGATTTGAATAACTATAAAAAAATATTATTTTTAAGGAGTAAATATTAACATTTGTTTGCTACACTTTTAATCTAAAATATTATTATTTTTGTCGTAGTAAGAAATATCAGGCTCTTTCATGACAGGAGGTCCCAATTTTTAGTAGATAAGTAGAAGTGATGACAGTGGTGGTCGTATTATAATTTAAATATTTTTACT